AGAACTGATGAGACGCAACAGTATGGTCGAAATCTTTGAAGCTGCGTTTCATAAAAAGGGCGCCGGAACCCTTTACATCTGTGCACCGGTAGCCAAACGGGCCTGTTTCAAACACACCGCCACACTTGGTTGACAACTATGGCTCTGACAATACGGCGGTGGTCGTCACGTTTTCCTAACCGCAGGTGGCTGTAGTCACGATGTTGGTCGTGTACCAGACAGATGTGCGAATGTCACAGACAAAGGAGCTCGAATCGATTGACCTTGCATAAGCAAGCTCGTCTAGACCTCAACCTCTGCCTCAAAATTCCTATGTCGGTGTATCCGTGGTAAAAAAGTAAATTTTAGAACAACAATCACAAACGTTTCAGGTAATGTAAATAGAGTGAATAACCTTATGCTCATGTTATATGTTGCAAATTGATATAATTAAAACTAAATTGATATATTTCGATATTGCACCGTCATCAGAATAAGAATGATTTTTCTATTTCTTTCTTTCTATTATTTCTTTCTATATTTTTCTATATTTTTCTATATTTTTCTTTCTATATTTCTATTATTTCTTTCATCTATTTACATTATTAATCATGCTCAGAAATACCATAGCTTACCTCCAAGAAGTTTCAGGTAATCTTAACACGGTGGACATGATTAATGGGTCAGGGCTTAGCGTTAAGGGTAACGGTGCACGCATAATGCGCAGTTCCACTCAATGCCTCATTTGAACAAAACGGTACAATGCGGTGCGGATCCGGATGCATTTGAGGCCATTTTCCTGGCTACGTGCATCGCCAGCGTTACATTATTTCAGGGTCTTCCGTTAAATATTCTAATAATATCAGTGGGAAAAGAACTGTTAAATTCCTTGCCAGGTATAGCCCGCACGGCTCATGGTTTCCTATACTATCCTATAGGGTGAACAACTGTCTGGTCTCAATCGGGAAAATTATGCATGCATAATTTTCTGATCGGTGCCTCTCAATTTCCTCAAATGTCTTCCCGAGGCGTTCCCCATTGCCCATGCATGAAGTTGAATTCTTAGGTATAGGTTTTTTCTTTCTCAAATCCGTCACAAAATGTTAGAGAAGAAACTATCAATAAAGCATTTGCTCGAAACATGAGCAACGTTTTTTTTAGGCCCGCGGAGCTCGGCGCGAGTCCATCAAACGCCAGTGCGGACCCTCAGGAGTCCGGATACCGCGTGGAGCCCCAAAAAGCCAGTATACTTATAACCAACAAAGGCCCGCATATGATGTAGGCCCCTCAATGCCGTGAAATGCTCTGGAAACAAGTCATCGCAGACGAGAGCACGCCGCAAACCATCAGTGCCGCTCTTTCTTTGGGATATGACCGGAGAGGGAGACCTGGGGCGGCCCCCTGCAGGAGCGCTAGGTTCTCCCTAGAGCGGGAACGGTGATTGGGTAGGTTGCTTGAGCAGTTCCGGCTGTACCAGCGTTAGCTAGTCAATCACTATAGTGCGGCAGGACACAGGGTTGTCCATACCTTATTTCGAGCGAGCGCAAAGTGAGTCTTTTCATTATAACGGAAAAATCTAAGTATGAGCGGCCCTGCCCGGCCCGACCCGGCCTATGTATAACGCGTTTGAGAGGCCTGTATCCTATCTTAACTCAAAGCTAATGTTAAGGTGGGATGGTCACTTTAAGAGGACCGATTTTCCAGCTATATTATTTTCACCTGCCATAGCAAAAACCTAAGTCCAATATAGATCAACGGTAAGAGTTTGTGCACATCTCAGACATCTCGAAGAAGGTAATTCGCTGCTTTCTGTTGTGAGTCGCTGCACCTTACTTAGAACGACGACCTCTCCGCGTAAGCCGAGACCTCAGTTAATTTGTTTGTTTGTTTTGTTGGGTTAGGCCCTTTCGGTCGACAAGACCATTGCAGAGCCGGAAGGATGATAGGAATTAGGGGGAGACATTGGTCTGGGCAGGCACCCTAGTGAGTCGCCGGGGCTGAGCCCGTCCAGAGGACAGGCCACCCAGCCCCAAGGCACTCACTGCACCCGGCTACGGGGTGCGCTCCCTCAGGAGCAGCGGTGCCGCTCCAAGGGAGCAGCCCGCATGAGATAAAGTTGCCTGTCCAGCCCGGAGGGGGGTTGCGGCGTGGAGGAGAAGGATTTTTGTATCCTGAGGATAGAAGCACGGAACGGTGGACCTCAGTTAATCTCCCTGCGGAGAAGCGTTGCTCGGCTCCAGAGAGCTAAATTACCGTAAAACGGGGTGAAGTGAGACAGTGGGGTGAAGTGAGACACAAGATACACTTCTTCCTATAATGAACAGTTTGTTTAGGAACTGAGCAAAACGGTGCAGACTTCCATGAAGTTTGCCCGGAAGTTTGCACCGTTTTGCTCAGTTCCTAAACAAACTGTTCATTATAGGAAGAAGTGTATCTTGTGTCTCACCTCACCCCACTGTCTCACTTCACCCCGTTTTACGGTACGTGCATATATTAAGATGGGAAGGATCGGGACCGAAGTATGGTGTAACGTCGAAGTCATATCTTACTTATTCAGAACCAATGGATAATATGCGTAAATTTACTTAAGCATGGCGCGTGCTTAAGTCTGTCAACTTCTTGGGCATGCCACGACTCATTCTACAAACTGCATATTCCCGGAGTCGGGGTCGAGGCAGTTTGAATAATTCCGGCTCCGATTCTGGCTCGTTGCCACGACTCCGGGCGACTCCGACTCCGATTCCGAATCAGAAACTCTTCTGCATTCTAGTCAGTTTTGGGATACGGTAAAAGTTTAAGTCAGTTTTCAAGCTTCCTTTCAAGTCATCTTGTTTTTACCAGGGAGTGAAAATCTCTTTAGCAGAGTGCATTGGCATCTTCTTATTCAGTATTTTATGCTGAACACTGATGTGGTGTTGTTTCGTGCTTTGAATTTCGATCATACGTTGTTCACGCTTAGACTTGATGTGTGTATGTAGTATGTACCACGCCTTTCATCTCAAGGAGCATGGATCGCATCGCTGAGATCACTGATCTGGGGAAACTGAAACTTGTATCTAAAATATGGTGCTCGAACCGTGATCTGAAATCTGTTGAGTGAACTGCGATATGGTGTTGCTCGCTACAGATATCATGCTAGTTATTTAGAATAAAAATGTCTCCTCGATGCCTTTGGAATTTGCATAAGCGCCGTCACCTGCAGAGGACAGGGAAACGAGTCCCCAATTCAAGATTTTGAACGGGGGCCTCCCTAACTTTTTGGTCTCTTACTAACGCTTGTTTTCTGAAGCTTTGGAAATACGTCTTTGTCATTTCTGCAAAAATAAAGGGGCCGATATCCGAGAAGAAAATGGATGAACGACTGATTTAACCCTCGCCGGACCTATTGGTTTTCTACATACGCGCCGGCCGAGGGGGGGGCGGGTACGACCCCCCCCTCGCCGTTTCGCCCCTGGTGGAGCTAGCGCGTCGCGGAAAAAACGAGCGTGTGCGCCGTTACGAGACGCAGAGATTGGTACCCGATTTTAAGGTCCTAGGTCAACCGGTGACCTCTGAGGTCAGGTCAAGTGCCCCAGGGTACGGTTCAGTTTTTGGTGAATAACTTCGCAAAAAACGGCCGCAGAGCGCCGATTTTGGCAGCATCGTGTTCGCCTCGCTCAGGCGCGTCGAATGATATACTTTTTGTCCGGGTCAGGTCAACTTGGGGTGTTGACCTCAGGTCAAGGTCAGGTCAGCACCCCCAGGTCACGAAGTTGGTCGAAAGAGGTCATGTCGCATATCATTCGATTCGGCAGGCCTTCCTGAGTCCATTGGTGCCTTTCCCGACTCGCTAGCTCAATTTGATCAAGAGTTATTGACGAAAAACTAATTTGACCTTGATGACGTCATAAATGACGTCACGCAAGGTCAACATTGCAAAAGTGACGCATCTAACCTTGCAAGAAGTTCATCAAATCACGATTCTGTGTGCTTGAGATAGTTGGAGATCGTTCCCGGCGCCAGAATAGCAGTTTGAATTTTTCCCCATTGACTTATAATGGTGAGGTCACGAAAATGACCTGACCTCATATGACCTTTAGGAGAAATCCGAGATATACAAGTTGTGGGACTCATAATGGATACTAGATCCTGCAAGTTTCATTTCCCTGTGACATCTCCTCTGGCAGTGAGGGCGTTGCGAAGTTGCGACATCTGAAGACCGTGCAGAGGTTCACTTATGACGTCATAGGTCAGTGACCTGACCTGACCCAAAAATGCGGTTGGTGTCAAAAGATGCGGCTTGGATCAAAGGTCAGGTATGCCAAGTTTCAGCTCTCTATCGCCAGCGTGTTCGGAGCTATCGCGAAAAAAACCCTATGGGGGGGGGGCGGCACCCGCCCCCCCCCCTCGGCCGGCGAGGGTTAAAGATGCCGATTTTCGAGCCCAGTCGGATAAACATGACATGCGCAAGAGTCTATGGTGCAGTCCCGAACATCCGATGGGAAGAGTCGATGTTAACTTCCAGTGAAATCGATAGAACTCTTCTGAACCACTGAAAATACCAAATCATTTCTGTTTCAATGCAGCGTCATTCGTTTCACCGCGACGCGACTGCTGATGCGAATTTAACGGTCAGCTCGGTGTTGGGCAGAACCGCTCCCACTGAAGTGTGTCAGCAAAAATAATAAAATCACACTAGATTTGATGCCAAAAAGATTGGTTGCTAGGAAAGTAGATAATTTATGCTTCGGGAAATACATAAAGGTGACACATCCACCCAGGGAGTTCCCCACCAAAACTGAACACCGTTCCACCCTCTCACTCGGTGCTCTATCGGGCAGACCCGCTTACCCCCAGGGTCTCGCCACATCTGCCGTTGGAAGGTGGGGCTGTCGACGGCTCAGGAAACTGGTGGGCATCCGCCATGGACGGTCGGTCACTAATTTCATCCTCGGTGTCGCATTTCCTGGCAGCGGCGCGCACGCTATATAAGGGCCGGTGTCCTTGTTGGTCACTGTGCAGTGTTCCACCGGAGCGGCACCATGAAGCAGCTGGTAAGTGACATATATCAGAGGTGTGAACATCAAACCATGAGGCATGAACATGCATGGAATGATCAACAAAGCGGAATTGCAAGACTAGTGCAGTGATTGATGAAGCGACGCCAAAAGCGTGATATAAAATAATGCGGAAGGGAGTGACGCAAAGAGGTGTTGTGAGCCATATTTGTTGTCAAGAAACTTGATATGTCTGATGAACTTATGGACTACATTTATTGGACATATTTCACTTTATGTGTATATTTGAGAACTTTTCACTTTATGTGTCGCTGTTTGCCACTCAGATGAGCTTCATCAAGTACGGCTAGAAATGAATGTGTGCCGAAAGCCGATATCTACCGCTTAGATAAACCTATCTCGTGTGCTTTCTAACAAATAAATCGCTTGTTTTCCCTTAGGTTCTGCTTATAGCAGTTTTAGTGACAACAACAATCAGCAATGGCTTCATCCTGGGACCTCTTGGCGGGTAAGTTCGGGCTCCAGCTTAATTTATTGACGGTCTGCTCCTTTTCATAACACATTCATTTTCCACTGTCGACTGAATGACTGTCACCAGGCATTTGAAAAATGATATGCATATGGATCAGGGTATCGGTTTTCGATGGATGGGAACAACGCCGTTCAAGAATGATTTATACACGAGTTAAGCAGCATCAAAACATGAAGACATCGTTAAACCACCAGCGTAATTAAAGACAAAGATTAAGTCTCACAATAACTTGTAAATGCCATACTCTGCTATCAATCAAAATAAGTGTTTCTTGCCCTCCTTACATTGTTTATAAAAAGGAAAAGATGCGTGATATAAGAGACATAATCAGAGCAATTCAAGATAAAATGCGCCAAAAAAGCAAACTTATCGTCGGACCTTTGACTGACATTTTCTAAGAATTTCAGTGCATCGGTTTCGCTGTTTAAGTTCATTTGTTGGTCACGGGCCTGAATGACAGGAAACAGTTAAAAAAAAAAAACACTAGAGGCACTACTTTTTGTCTTTCTTATTTCGAATGTTAATCGTAGTTGCAGCAGCGAAAAAAATTATTTTGCTTAGATGGCAAAGGGCTCAGCCATTCTCTAGCAACGTCTCCACCCGAAACTGGTTAGTCCTGAAAGTCAATTGCTATTCGTGAGCAATTGGCGAAGATGTTCAATAAGTAAGTTATTAAAGAGATGAGGTATGCACACGACAGGATGTGTAAATAAGCCCCAGGAATAAGATAGTCGTGCCCTTGAGCGGCGCAGACACTTTGAAGTTTGAACCAAGCTTTGGACGGAAGCGATCTCACATCTAAACGCTTCCAAAGCGTGGACAATTAGAAAAATATAGCCATTCTCGCTATGAATCATTTGCCATTATGATTATGAATCATAACAGATCGCAGCAGATGCATGACATTTTTCATTGCATCCTCAATTACCGCTGAAAAAGTTAATCAAGCAATCGTTGCAGATAAAAAACGGGTCTGAAGCTGAACCCAGGGCAACGCCTGCCAGAAAATGAAAAAGAGAACATCAAAGTAGCTGGATCAAAATCCAATTTCGCTACCTCAGCATTCTAACATTATCTTGTAGTTTAGTTAGTAACTGGGAGTGGGTGGCTTCGAAGGCCAACCAACTACTCTGGAAAGAAATTAGGTATAAAGCATCTCAATAATAATAACTATAGTAAAAGTAATAGTTATTATGCTATGTGGTATTAACAATAATAATAATTATTATGTGGCAACATGTCTTGACGCCGATGAAAGTTGGTGAGTGTCCAGTTGACAGGTCTGACGTATCCCTGTACCTCTGACCTCCCGATTTGTTTGCGCTTCAGCGTGTCGCCGATCGTGATCAAGGCACCCGAGCCGCCGAAAAAGGAGCCGCCTCCTCCGCCTGTGGTGGTGCACGTGCACGCAGGTCACGGCGGAGGTCACGGCGGAGGTCACGGCGGAGGTCACGGCGGAGGTCATGGTGGAGGTCACGGTGGAGGTCACGGAGGAGGACATGGCGGAGGTCATGGCGGAGGTCACGGCGGACATGGTGGAGGTCACGGACCTCCGCCACCGCAGATCATCATTCTGAAGGGCGGCGGCGGCCACGGCGGAGGCGGCCACGGCGGCGGCGGCGGCGGTCCTCCCCCACCACCGCCTCTGACCATCCTGCCCATCATCATGCCGCCCCATGCGGGAGGTGGTGGAGGAGGTCACGGACCGCCACCAGGAGGACACGGACCCCCACACGGACCCCCGCCAGGTGGACATGGTGGTCCCCCGCCCGGAGGTCATGGTCCCCCGCCCGGAGGTCACGGTCCGCCACCCGGAGGTCACGGTCCTCCGCCCGGAGGTCACGGTCCGCCACCCGGAGGTCACGGTCCGCCGCCCGGAGGTCATGGTCCCCCGCCCGGAGGTCATGGTCCGCCGCCAGGAGGTCATGGTCCGCCGCCAGGAGGTCATGGTCCGCCGCCCGGAGGTCACGGTCCCCCGCCCGGAGGTCATGGTCCGCCGCCCGGAGGTCACGGTCCCCCGCCCGGAGGTCATGGTCCCCCGCCCGGAGGTCATGGTCCCCCACCAGGAGGTCATGGCCCCCCGCCAGGAGGTCATGGTCCCCCGCCCGGAGGACACGGAGGACCCCCGCACGGAGGACCCCCGCACGGAGGACCGCCCCACGGCGGTGGCGGTCACCCGCCGGGTGGCGGTGGCGGCGGCCACGGCGGTCCACCGGTCCACGTGGTCCCGATCCACCTCCCGCCGGGCGGCGGCGGCGGCGGCGGGCACGGCGGTCCCCCGGGCGGCGGCCACGGCGGCTACGGCGCGCCGATGGTGGTGCCGATCCACCTTCCACCGGGCGGTGGCGGTGGACACGGAGGTGGACACGGTGGACACGGCGCGCCGCCCCCAGTGACGGTGATCGGCGGCGGCGGCTACGTGGGCTGAGCGCGCCGCGCGCCCATCAGGGGACTGTTGTGGGGCCTGCATTCTTCTCTTTCACCGTCGACGGAACGCCCGCGGCGTGTGAACCATTGTTACTCATGTTGTCGTGTGCAAATAAATGTCATGACTCGCCGTTGTTAACTCGTGTTTCCTGCATGGCACTGCCAGACAACAAGGTCCATCGCGGTCAAGGAAACTGTACTTTTGGTGGAGTGAGTCAACCAATTATTTTCATCCAATCGCTTCAAGGAGACGCGTAGGAAAATTAAGCTTGTTCTTTGGTGTTGACACAATAAAATTTCAAGGATCAAAATATTTGTTTCTTTTTATTGAGATGAATTGAGATGTTTGGCTTTATTACAGAATCGAAACCACAAACTAGAGAACGTCACAGACTAGAAAACTTGAGGAGATATGCTTTACAAATGACGGGTTTTAAATGCATTTGAAATTGCAAAATGAATCGACTGATTGAGAAACTCAGGTAATTCTCATTCATAATGATACATGTGCATGTCAAAGCAACAACATGCATGTCAAACTGGTGATAGAGGTCATTTTCATTCAATTAAGGCATAGCTAGCAGAAGGCGCTGTATGGGAACCTGATATCCGTTAGCTCTTTCCTGGGAAAATGTACCACACTATTCAATTTCGAAAGTGGCGTGGATTTGAAATACCTTGATCTAGTTATCGCTAGCACTTTTTTATTAAATATAATTCGATCAACTTTTCAAAGTCAGGCCATTAACCTATACAGTTGAACACTAAATCCATGAACGAGGTCAGGCTTGTAGATGTTCATGATTGTAATTAGCTTTGTTTTTCCAAAGATAGCAGTTAACAAAGATAAACTTTGTCCCTTATACATAAGAGTGTTCACCAACAGAACATGAGGTGATAAATATCATTATAAAACTCAAGTAGAAATAAATTATAACTATATAAGTGTTTCCTGCTATACTCATCACGCATAAACCAAAAGATAACGGCCGTCTCGTATTGATATCGCAAGACAAAAATAAAGGTGCCTCGTCTAGATGGCAGCACCAGTCAATGGCTAACGATTTTACAGGTAAACACCGTCTGAACAGGAAAATATTGGCAACGATTTCCTAACGAGACCTTAATCCCTTTGATAACAAGGAAAGGGCATGTGGGCCATTCGCACTTCGCTGAACACTAATTACAAGTGATTGCACTTATTTAACAGTCAATGCCACGGGAGAACTTCTCAAAGTGAACTGGACACAAAAATCGCTGAGCTTCGCATTCATACTTATCATTTATACTGGCGAAATAATGCAACTATTTCTAAAGCAAACAATAAATGAAAATGAATAAAGAAAACGCGCAAACATTATAAAGAAAAATAAGATGTTATGTTTATCATTAAAAGACGTAATAAAAGAGCACTAATCGAAAAATGAGCAAATAAGGACCTTCATCGAACAAATGCCATTTACTTATTGGCGATCTGCCGAAGGTCAATTGGAAAGCGAGCAAAACTACAGGCACAGATATGGCAGGCATAGAAAGCACTATCGCAAATGGAAACTATAATTGTATCGGAACCAGCAACGAGCCTACATACTCCTAGACTGACTATGCAGTATGCACTGGCTTTAAATCCTTCTGATCTATAACATTGATTCGCACAGGTTTGAGGGCGAGACAGAGAGGAGAGGAGAGAGAGAGAGAGAGAGAGAGAGAGAGAGAGAGAGAGAGAGAGAGAGAGAGAGAGAGAGAGAGCGAGAGAGAGAGAGAGAGAGAGCGAGAGCGAGAGCGAGAGCGAGAGCGAGAGCGAGAGAGAGAGAGAGAGAGAGAGAGAGAGAGAAAGAAAGAAAGAAAGAAAGAAAGAAAGAAAGAAAGAAAGAAAGAAAGAAAGAAAGAAAGAAAGAAAGAAAGAAAGAAAGAAAGAAAGAAAGAAAGAAAGAAAGAGAGAGAGAGGGAGAGAGAGAGAGAACATGAGTAGATTGCCTAGAGCTGTCCTATCATGAAACCGACAATGAAGAGGATAATGCAAAAATGTATGCATTTAATAATATATTAATGCGAAGGTCCTGTACCTAACGATTAACTGCTCTTTTTCGGTTTGTATAAGGTACGCTGAATGAACAATACGCGGCAATGTTCTGTGCACCGTTTGAAGTTTGCAATGCCCATTGTTTCCCCGACTGTGAAAAGACGCAACACATAAGCATTGTTATTATTCCCATCCATATTCCGACATCTTTCACCACCTTCCAAAGCTACCTTTCAACCCTTCTACGCTCGGTTTTTGTTACAATCTGTTTGTTATTTGCTACTCATCTGTTATTTACCACATAATAAACATTCATGCATAATAATATACCGGAAAGGAATACATCAAGTGAACGTAGTGTATTCGAAATGTCTATGCTAAAATCGGATTCTTTTAAGCCTGTCTGTTCGCTTTAAGTGCATAAATAAATAAGAAATGAATCGAACTATTACAATGAATAGAGAGTCGAAAGAAACATCCAGATTCAGATGAAAATTTAAAGCGGCCAATGTTATAAGTATTGAGTCCTTACAAGGGCTTTCCATATGAGTGCCTTAAACGATTAGAAAGGCTTAGAAAATCTGACTTATGTAAATACCGGCATATGTCTTTCTTTTTCTCAAGCGACATATGTCTTTCCTTTGTACTACTAGTAGAATAAGACGTCTATCAACAGAAACCTCATCGACTTTAACCCGCGCCGGGCCGGTGCTCCGCGACTTCCGCGCCGGGCCGGGGGTGTGTGTGTCTGAACACCCCCCCCCCCCCCCGTCTAACTCGGCTCCTGGGCCACGTAGCGACACGCAGTAAGCGGAATTTGAAAGAGCGTCAAAAATAATGACGGAAACACTTCGGCCATTTTTTGGAGGCAGGTCAAAGATCAGGTCGCCAGAGGTCATCAAAGGTCAAATGTAGACCATTATAACAATTTTGGAAACTGCCAACGGCGAACTCAGGAACCAATACAGCTACAGCGCCGCGGAAAAGCGCATTCGATAGCCCTTTTACAGACCTTTCTGAGTATGTTCTCAGATTTGACCTCAAGTCAACGGTTTAGCCTCCAGAGGGCAAAAACTGTAAAAATAGCAGTTTTCACGAAAATGGTTTTTCGTAAATAACTTTTGACTCAAGAGAGCCACTACATTACTTTTGGAAGCATCGTGTTCCTCTCGTCGAGACACGTCGAATGAACTATTGTTGACCTTGAAAGGTCATTTGGAAAATTTGACCTCAGGTCAAGGTCGTGACCTGACCGGAATGGGTCATGTTGCATATCAGTTGATCCGTATCGTCGAGCTGAATACATCTGACGTGTTTCCATCGCTTTAGCACGTCTCTATCAAAAGTTATAGCCAAAAAACTGCTGGTGACCGTTAATGACCTGAGATGACCTCAGGGGCACCCAGAGGGGTCACAGGTGCATTTTTACCGATTCAGTGTGTCATGTTTACCTATGAACCGATGTTTGAGAGGGTTTTGAACATCATTCGTCCAAAAGAGGCGCATTTCAATTTTCTCCCATTGACTTATAATGGAGAGGTCGCAAAATTGACCTGACCTTAGGTCACCGATATCAAAATTCCGAGACAAACATTTTGTTCTGTTACTCTTATCAATCGCTGAAAGTTTCAAGGCGATCGTTCAGTCGGTGTAGCTATGACGAGGATTGAAACTTTTTCTGAGGTGAGGTCACTTAACCTGACCTGGTGACCTGACCTTGAGAGCCCTGGGTCTGAAATTTTCACAACATGTGTGGAAGCGATGCATGAACAGGTGTACCAAAAACAACTGCGCCGCCGTTTTTGAGATATCTGTGAAAAACTGCAGGGGAGTGTTCAAACACCCCCCACCCCCCCGGCCCGGCGCGGGTTAATAACCATTTGCTACTGTGCTAAGGAGAATATTTTTTTCAATTCAGTTAAAAATTAAGAGTTTCAGCAATATACTGAGATATCTGCAAAATTTAGATAAAAATTGCAAAGACAATGAATTAACTATCTGAATCGCAAACGATCTTTTTTGTCACAATGTAGAGGCATGAGACATCACGCATGAATAACGACGCGATAAGTATGGAAAATGAATATCATAACACGCACAATGCACAATTCAAAGAAAAAATTGGCCGTCTATTAAAGGGACCCTCCCACCTTCAAAAAAGTTAATGAATTGGCATGAAAGTGATGTCGCTCGGTTCAGAAAGAGCGAAAACGAATATCTACCAAATTTCACCGAAAAATATTCACCGGTTTTCAAGATATTAGACTTTTACTTTTGTTTACTTTTTGGGATCTCCGCTGTTCCTAGCGACTTTATTTGAAAGTGCGGCATTTGTTGCGCGCAAAGCAGCATATACCACCGCGTGCTACAAAACGTTTTAGTCAAACATTTAACGGACGTTCGAGAGCCTGATGACGTCATCAGATTCCCGTAATGGTTAAGAGATAGGGACCACGCTGGTCCCACCCTGCAAGTAAAGGGAAGAAATTTCTTGAACACCATAAAGCTGCGGGGGTTGCGACCAGGATAAATGGTGGTTTCTGAGCCTGGCCGCAAACTTGGCTATCTCAACTCAAAACTAATGTTAAGGTGGGAGGGTCCCTTTAAACCCACTCATTTCACTACCATGATGAAACAGACATCCCCGTCAAATACAACACAATACAAGGAAACAAGTGACATTGATGACAATTCAAAGCATTGATTGCACGCGATTCCGTAAGCAAAGGCTGACACCGAACCGAAAACATCTCCAAAAAGAATCGGCGACACAATGGGAGTAGGCTCGTCTCTCGGAACTCCACTCCCGGCTTAATCAACTCGCAGAATGAGTAGGCTATTCAGCTCGTTTTACCTCTTCAATTACCTGCTCGACCGGAACAAGAGGCTCGGGGTGCCGGCGCGGCACCAGCGACCACTATATACAGTTACGGTCACGTCTAGATCGGTAAAAATTAGCTTCTGAAAAAGTGTGAACAATATGACTCACTGAGGTGCTTCACCCTGCACCCAGCGTACTTTTGTTCGTTTACTCCTAGTGATGCAAACCATAAGCTTATTAACCCTCGCCAGACCTATTGGTTCTCTACATAGCCCCGGCCGAGGGGGGAGGGGTACGACT